ATATGCTTTTTATCACAGGATGTCACTTATGCTAGCAATGTATTTGGAACTTATATTAATGTAATTATTTAAAAGCTATGTTGTTTTTTCTTAACCGGTTTTGAAACCTAAACTTGTACTATTATTTGTGAATCCATTTGTAATATTATTTCCGTTGCAACTCTGTATATGTGATGTGTATTTACTTAATTATGCGATTTTGTATGACGTTGATTTATCGAGGTACTTCGTGATACTCGGCGGACTGCCGGGTTTATATAGGTAAAAGTATGCATATGTCAACGTGTTTAACGAAGACGGCAGTACTGTATAAATTTGATGGTTCTGTCACGTGCTCGGCTCCCATGGGGCCTTGTCGGTGATTGGCCCGCCTCGCGTTTCTATCCTATCCTACCTGATCCACCGCCGCAGCCGCCCTCATCGATCGAATATTGAACCCCGGTTAATGCTTGGGCTGCCGAAGTAGCCTATTACCCAGACCCACTATGTCCGCAATGTCGCATGCCGTCAGATCGTGTCCAGGAACGCCACGTTTCTCTGAGGCATCTACTTCAACAACAGCTCAGCTTCGTTCGTCGATGAGGTGGGTGACGGAGCGCTTAACTAATAATAAGCCCTTGTTTAGTTCGCGAAATTTGGATTTTGGGGCTACTGTAGCATCTTTGTTTTTATTTGACAAATAGTGTTCAAATATGGATTAATTAGACTCAAAACGTTCGTATCGCAATTTCCCACCAAACTGTGCAATTAGTTTTTCTTTTCGTCTACATTTAATGCTCCATGCACGGACCGCAAACGTTTAATGTGACAGGTACTGTAGTAACTTTTTGGAAATTGGGATGGAACTAAACAAGGCGTAACTTCTGGACGAGCGCTTAGTAGAATATAATAGCCTGTAGATCGGGTACGTTTGCATCCGTGCATAAGCTCCCAGGTGGCGAGCGCTGCAGCCCGACATGGCCGGCGGGTGCCGCCGAGAAGAACTTTTTGGATCCATGGCCAGCGAATCAATCGCAGCTTAATATCCTTGCTTCGCGGAAGTACTATTTTACCCTCCACAATTTAATTAGAGCTAGTTCTAGGCCCATTAAATTTTGATTCCGGCCCACAGCTTAAGTTCCTCTTAATAGGTTCTTCATGTTTCTTAACCATCCGATTTAGCCAAACGGATGGCTCTAATTATTTTCAAGCACTATAAAATTTCTCTTTTCTAAAAATAAAAAAAATCTAGCTTCATCTCATATTTAGAGAACCATTGTTATTTTTTTCTTTTCTGCCTTAGTACGATTGATTAGTAGAGAAGCAAAACGATTGTCACACACACACATATACACGTGGAAACAAGCTGCATTATTTTGCATCGCAGGTGTTCTGAGTCCACGACGCCAAATAAGTCTTTGAAACAGTTAAGAGTCCACGATTCTTAATTTTTCAGAGCAAGATAAACACACAGCTTCAAGAGAAAATTAAGTGGCATATATCTCAGATGGGCTCTCCGATCCATATAATAAATATCCCGGTCTCAACATCATGAGATGCTTGTGACCGTAAATTATTACAAAGTTTTACTATATAGTGGCAATGCACGTGCGCCACGCACGTGTTTATAGCTAGGACATGTGACATCCTATTATATTAGTTTCACTGATTATCAATTTTAACCATCAAATTCATGGACAAACTTTGACAAATCCAAATTCCAAGATTATATAGTCACAGTAGATGTATACTCAAATGATGCGACAGTCACAGTCATCCTGTTAAGTCTGATTTAATTGGAACCGACTGGAAGCATGCATGCTTTCAGGTAACAACATATTGTTCAGATAAAAAGGAGTACAGTTTTATGTGTACAAAGAATTTGTTTCTTCTTGAGAAAATTTATGCATGGGTCTTTCTTATGAAAAAAGACACTTGTGAAGAACCTCATTGGATTAATCAATTGCTATCCACCACTTCAATGTTGCTCTACATGACAGTCTAAAATATTGCTTTGGCACCTCATTGGATTAACAAATTGCTGTCTTCATCGGTATCCATTCGTACCTCATGGAGATGACGTGGCATTTCAGTGTAAGCTGTGTGCATTTGATGTGTAGAGTCACTTAATTTACAGACCTGTCCACATTAGACATCATCTCAATAGCAGCCTAGCAGACAACCAACTCTGTAACTCTCTATACACACACAAAAAATGCCAACTCCTATGGTTCATCTTCTCTATAACTTAATATGTTTCTGTGAAGATGAATTTGTTTGAAAAACAATTACAACACTAACTTGCCTCCAAGTATCACAGGAGTCGGGAGCCCTCCAACCACAACTTGCCTCTTGTAAAAGCAACTCTCTGATTAGACTGTTCTTGTAACCTTCGCCAATACTTATTCTCTTCATTCTTTTGCTGGTACTGATTCTCTTCATTCCTTGGTGACCTGCATGTGGCCTTCTTGTTAAATGAACTGCTCGCATTTTTTATTGGATTTCTCTCGGTTTAGCCTGAACTCCACAGGCTGCCCCACAGGTTGTCGCACTATTGTCTACTTTATAGTGCAGCTGCATGACCAATGGTGATCCGCGTGTCAAGATGGGAGTATTCCTGCATTGTGCAATACATACTATATAGATTAAAAATGTAGAAAATGCTGGGTCATTCATTACTCGTACAAATTGAGCCTCGTATAAGTGTTTTTCAGACTACAGAACCATTCAAATTCAGCGGTTAAAATGTCCAGGCTGCTATTTATTTTGACAAGGAAATCACATACAATACTTCCACTCGGAAACCTAAGCCAACCAATCATCACAACGTTTTCCTTTAAGAACTGCAATTCAATGCCCACTTCCCATTGTCGAAAAAGGTATAAAAATAAAACCTTTTTAGATGTTGACCTTGTGTTAGATTTGACAACCATGTGTAGGCATTTTAAAAACAGAAAATAACCAAGAACAATATGACTGTAAATCTAATATAAAATAAGCAGCAAAAAAAAAAAAAAAATTGGGATGGAATAATCCTTGAAGTATGACAACTTAAAAACTTGCCCTCTTTGTATAAAACTGTAAATGTAAGAAACTCTTCACAGAATGCAGGATCACCTTCCAAAAGAAGCCTATGGATCACCACAAGTGTCTTCAGGGCAACCTACATAACACAAGAAGAACCCATTCTATATTATTGGCTACTAAGGGAAGCAGAACACTCTGAATAGGAATTACGAACTCCAAATAATTTTGATAGAGTTGCTGCTAGGATAGCTGCAAGGAAACCAAAAAACTTAGCATAGCATATTTGGAGTCATGCCATCTCAACTGAACTCCACATACAGTTCTGGCAAGACCAAAAGGTAACCATTCAGAAATAACTATTTAATCCAATGACATCACATTACAGGCCTGTAATGTCAAACAGGCTTCAGGACAATCATTAAAATAGAGGAACCACATAATATAAATCAACAATTCTCAGTTCCCAGTGTTGTGATGTAGAGAGCTCCAAATGCATATATACTGGCATATTTTACTTTCAAGTTAACAAGAGTTGCTGGCAAAATATGAGTTGATGCTACTTTCTCATCAGTATATCCTGATTCCTGAACCCTGAAAAATTCATTCCAATTAGAACTATTCTTTGATTTAACAAGCATTTGTACTTGATGATGGAACAATATATCAAAATCGCTAAAGTGAATAATTTATAGAAGTAAACACAAAACAAAAATCTACTGTATCACCTCCATCACGAGATTATTTGAGCTCCAGAAGAGGATTTTGGTTGCATACCTTCTGTCACAGAGTGAGGGAAAGAAGCAGGTTGACCTGCCCCTTCGCCGTTGCACACAATTGATCTTCCCTTCGTCAAGGAATCTTGGTGCAGTTCCTACACAGATCCTCCCTTCCCCGAGACGGTATCACCAATCTCCTCACTTCTGTTGCCAAGATCTGAGAAGTTGAGGCGTCGAACCCTCCTACACGAGAACATCGTTGACCGATTAAAAATAAAATTAGTTTAGAATCGAAGAGCAGGCAGCCGGCGCTGACCCCAATATAGTGGAACTGGTCGAGCACCCCCCAGGCCTCCCTGCACTCCATCACACACATGGGTGGGGCAGCCGGACGAAGCCGAGCGAGGGGTGGTCGGCGAAGGGGCCTGCGGTGATGACGCTCCAGGAGTAGTCGGCACACCAGAACCTGCCAACTCCACCATCCGGATCTAGATGGAGCAGGAGAGGAAGGAGCCCATGAGGCGATGACCACCAACAATCCTGTTCTGTTGTCGCCTTGATTCCCTTACTCTCCTGCTGTGGCCTCTGCCCATCGGCGGCAGCGCGTGCTGAGGGGACGAAGATCGCGTGAGACTGGAGGAGATCGGTTCCTGGGGGAGGAGACCGACGGGAGGCATAGGAGGACCTCCTCAACAGCGTCGGGGAGCGGACGCGGAGAAGAAGGGTGCAGATGCGGCGGTTGCGGGGGCGCCGTCCTGTAGGAAGAGCGGAGGGAGGCGAGCGTGCAACAGCGTCGGGGAGCGGGCGCGGGGAAGAAGGGTGCAGATTGGGCGGTTGAAGGGGCGGGCGCTTTGGGCGGCGGCGATCATAGGCAGGGAGGGGCAACGGATGGAGTTCGAGGGGCAGCACGCGCGATAACGTCAGGCAGGTACATGCGGGTGGGTAACAAGCCTCCAGGGTGAAAAAAGTTTGGCGGAGGCGCTCGTTTGCAGAGGAAACACACGTGTTTCATTTGTTCCTGAGATCCTTCTCTAGTGGATCCACATGTCAATCTTAGATGGGTAAGAAATTTTTTAGGTAACAATGAATTTTCAAAAGATTCGCTCCATTATAGTACAAATAGAGATATAGATATATATAAAAACACTCAATCTAAGTACCGAAAAGATCAAGAATCCAAACACAGGAGGAGACAGGCATTACAGCAAGAGGAGCAAGCAACCGCGAAGCATGCAACATGCAAGAACAGAGCAGACTAGGTGCGCTAGCACCGTAACATTAAACAGTGCCAGCAGGCGTAGCAGCGGTTTCGCCCCTGCTTACGATCCCAGCATGGAAGAGCAGCGCCCAGAGGAGCGTGATTAGCTCGCCGCCCCGGGCGACGGCCTCCGAGTGCCCTTTCTCGTTCTTCGACGGCGCGGCGTACAGGATCATCTCCGACCAGAATCCGGCCAGCAGCTTCCACGTGGCCTCGTCGCCTTCGCCTGCGGCAGTGAAGTACTCCACCAACTCCGTTGCCAGCCTTGCACCATCCCTGAGCACCTCATGCCTTGAATTCTCACCCAGCAATTTCAGCAGCTGCTCATACTCGGCCTCTGGCGTGCCCGGCGCGGCGCGTCTGGCAGCAAGGGCGCGGCCAGCGTCCTTCTTGACGGCCTTGTACACGCTCTTGCTCCATGCAACGTCGTCAGGAAGTAGCTCAGGATACCAGGCCATCAGGTACGTGCAGTACCGTGACAGGTGTACTGCGGTGATCCTGTCATCGGATACAGCCGGCGGAGAGCCTTGTTCTTGTTCTTGGTCATGCTGGCATGGGTGCCGAGCCTCAAGGATGCACGTGGCGATGTGCCATGTAAGTATGGCATCCGATGTGCCTTTGCTATTGCAGGCCCCGGGGAAGTTCTCATGGACCCGGCTTCGGCGCAGAGATGCGCCGGTGCTCTTATGGCTCCTCAGGGCATCGATGATGCAAGCTGTCACCGCTGGTGATACTCTGACACTCCTCTCCTTGTCCGGCAAACGGAGGACGCGCCTCAGAAGTCCGAGTGGAGTGACTGTTCTTGGTTGAAGCACCAGTACTGAACACTGGCCCATCTTTTCATTCCAATGCTTCATCAGCTTCCATCTGCATCGCAGCAAAAGGGCCACCCATTTCTGCACGGGTACAAAATGCTGCGAAGAGGTATGGTTTACGTACCAGCAGATGAGCCCTACTTTTGTCCAGTTGGAACAGATGTAAGAGCCTATGTCTCTGATCTCTGAGATCATGACCAACGTCACAATCAGAAACAGAAGCACCACAACTAAGAATGTGCTTCCAAAGCTTTCAACCTCCAGAGGGCTTACCACATGATCTCCCCAGCACCGGTAAATGCAATCCATCTGAGAGGCACTCACTATGTCCTCCCAATCCGCCTGCCAGATCGCATACCCGAGCCAACATGCAACCACGATGCAGTAACCTAGGCTCAAGAGTGAGATACAGAGACTCCAGATGTGCAGCCAACGCTTGACATAGCAGATTGGAAGGGATGAGTAATAGTAATCATGAACGAAAGAAACCTCATCTGCAATCAACTGGAATATCCTCACATGTTCGCCATCCTTCATCAACAAGCCCCAGAAAAAGTCAGTTGTCACCCCCTTAGAACCAGCATTACCAAGCTTATACCTCGCGAATCGACAGCGCAGCAACTTGAACAAAGCAAATGACAAGCATAAGTCTTTCAGTAGCAGCGGTCTTGGAACAGCTAGTAGCGTGTCGTCCAACCGCCAAACTCTGTCAACTGTCACCATGTTTTTGACATCCTTCACCACATACCCCTGAGGCTGCTTCTCCACTTGTATCACTTCTTCTCCCATAACCATGAGTGGAGGTGGAGGAGGAGGAGGAGGAGGAGGAGGTACATGTACATGTACATGTACATCCTGGTCATCACCGGCTACAGCTACAGGTGGTTCACCATGTGGACTTCCTTCTTCTACCTGCTGCAGAGGCTGCTTCTCCACTTGTAATACTTCTTCTCCCATAACCATGAGTGGAGGAGGAGGTACATGTACATGTACATGCTGGCATCACCTACAGGTGGTTCACCATGTGGACTTCCTTCTTCTACATGCTGCAGTTGCTGACTGTACCCAGAAACAAGATGTGGATTGCGTCCGAGTGCAAAGGATCGCTGTGCATTTCTGAATGCATACAGTTTGAACACAATCTTAAAACAGATGAGAGCAAATGGAGAGAACTCAACGAAAAGGAGCCACAAGGGATGCAGGGGCTTCCGGGCAATGCTGCTGGCACCAAGGTAAAACGTCCATACCCCCTGAACAAACAGCTCGTAAGGCGGAGGTATGTTTCGACCTTCTCTGTCATCAGCGGCGACTACTGTGCTGGTGTTGATTACAACAATCTGAACAAGGAATGCCCATATCACTGTAGCCAGCGATTGAAATCCTCCATCGCATGTAGCAACAAGGCCACCATGAAAGTACTTGGCAACATTGCTGTAATTGTTGGACTCGCTGTCAGTGCTGGACACAACATAGGAGAGGATGGGCAAGAAGAGCGTGGTGGCTCCGAGGAAGACGAAGCGGGTGAAGGGGTGATGACGGTAGCGCTGGCCGTAGGCGCCCATGGCGACTATGACCCCAGCCAGCACGACATCGGTTAATAGCATCGCGTTCACCCTCCACACCTGCCCTCTCATGCTCTTTCTGAAGGCCGCGAATGATTCATCGCAGTGAGAATTTCCTCCAGCCATGATCCACGGGATAGCTGATTTGCCAAATTTCACCATTAGAACAAGATATACATAGTTCAATATTTGGCACAAACGCACAAGGAATTGATTGATTTTGCTTCAGGGCTTCTACTAGCTTTATCTAAAGAACATGGACAAGCAAGGAGCAAACTAAACTAGAGGGGGCTATAAGCTCGCACAACTATGCAAGCATACACAGCGAAGCCGAACGAAGCAAATTGCTTCTTAAATCTACGGATATTATCAGTAAATTCAAGGAGTTACCGTAGGTTTGGAGATCCCGCTCACGATTGTGAGCCACCTGGTTTCTTCAGTAGGAAGACCATACAATGGCCGGGAGACAGCTACGATAAAACGACCCAATGAGAGACTGTGCAATGCGTGAGTGGAAGGTGCCTTAGGGCTGTTTGGTACAGCTCAGTTTACCAAATCAGTTTTTTTTAGCTTGAGTTCCCTAAAGCAGGTTCACTGGTAAAGCTAAAGTCATTTTTATAAATATTTGGTAAAACAGCTTCTCAAAATAGATAGCAGAGAAAAAGCTAGAAAGAACTAGTATTTCTAGCTTCAACCAGTTCACCTAGAAATACGTGCACGTAAGAGGAGCTCGAAAAACAAATTTTAGAAAGAAACTGTTTTACCTAGACCCGTTTAACAGGATAAGCTAAAAACAACTTTGTGAAGCTGTGGTAAATGTCATATCAAACGCACACTTAGTAGTCTCGGATTCCTAGTCCTAGACATTAATTTTGGTACTTCTGCTTTTTAAAGGTGATTGGGACACAAGGTGAAAATCGAATCTGTGGCCGGCACCGGAACATGCCTGATTGATTGGATGGGATGGCTTACCAGCTCACTGATTGTGTGAGAGAGATCACGCGCATGTAGTAGTATATAGTAACTCTTAAAATGTACTATTCTGACTAGTGTGGCTTGTCTGTCATCCATATTCGTCATCACTTAGTTCATTAATTCATTTCCCTAATTGCTGGTTTGGTAGTTCAGAACGATGGCACTCGTGCGCGGTTAAATTTTTTTAATGACTTACGTATAATTACAAACTTTTTTAATGGCATACATGTAAAAGCCTCAAAAAAAAAAATTTGGCGGAGGCGCTCGTTTGCGGAGGAAACACGCGTGTTTCATATGTTCCTGAGATCCTTCTCTAGTGGATCCACATGTCAATCTTAGATGGGTAAGAAATTTTTTAGGTAACAATGAATTTTCAATAGATTCGCTCCTTTATAGTATAGATAGAGATATAGATATATATAAAAACACTCAATCTAAGTATCGAAAAGATCAAGAATCCAAACACAGGAGAGACAGGCATTACAGCAAGAGGGGCAAGCAACCGCGAAGCATGCAACATGCAACAACAGAGCAGACTAGGTGGGCTAGCACCGTAGCATTAAACAGTGCCAGCAGGCGTAGCAGCGGTTTCGCCCCTGCTTACGATCCCAGCATGGAAGAGCAGCGCCCAGAGGAGCGTGATTAGCTCGCCGCCCCGGGCGACGGCCTCCGAGTCCCCTTTCTCGTTCTTCGACGGCGCGGCGTACAGGATCATCTCCGACCAGAATCCGGCCAGCAGCTTCCACGTGGCCTCGTCGCCTTCGCCTGCGGCAGTGAAGTACTCCACCAACTCCGTTGCCAGCCTTGCACCATCCCTGAGCACCTCGTGCCTTGAATTCTCACCCAGCAATTTCAGCAGCTGCTCATACTCGGCCTCTGGCGTGCCCGGCGCGGCGCGTCTGGCAGCAAGGGCGCGGCCAGCGTCCTTCTTGACGGCCTTGTACACGCTCTTGCTCCATGCAACGTCGTCAGGAAGTAGCTCAGGATACCAGGCCACCAGGTACGTGCAGTACCGTGACAGGTGTACTGCGGTGATCCTGTCATCGGATACAGCCGGCGGAGAGCCTTGTTCTTGTTCTTGATCATGCTGGCATGGGTGCCGAGCCTCAAGGATGCACGTGGCGATGTGCCATGTAAGTATGGCATCTGATGTGCCTTTGCTATTGCAGGCCCCGGGGAAGTTCTCATCGACCCGGCTTCGGCGCAGAGATGCGCCGGTGCTCTTATGGCTCCTCAGGGCATCGATGATGCAAGCTTTCACCGCTGGTGATACTCTGACACTCCTCTCCTTGTCCGGTAAACGGAGGACGCGCCTCAGAAGTCCGAGTGGAGTGACTGTTCTTGGTTGAAGCACCAGTACTGAGCTCTGGCCCATCTTTCATTCCAATGCTTCATCAGCTTGCATCTGCATCGCAGCAAAAGGGTCATCCATTTCTGCACGGGTACAAAATGCATGCTGCCAAGAGGTATGGTTTACGTACCAGCAGATGAGCCCTACTTTTGTCCAGTTGGAACAGATGTAAGAGCCATGTCTCTGATCTCTGAGATCATGACCAACGTCACAATCAGAAACAGAAGCATCACAACAAGAATATCCTTCCAAAGCGTTCACGCTTCTCTTGGCTTACCACATCAGCTCCCCAGCACCAGTAAAGGCAATCCATCTGAGTGGTACTCACTATGTCCTCCCAATCCCTGCCAGATCACAAGCCCGAGCCAACATGCAACCACGATGCAGTAACCTAGGCTCAAGAGTGAGATACAGAGACTCCAGATGTGCAGCCAACGCTTGGCATAGCAGATTGGAAGGGATGATCGAGTAATAATAATCATGAACGAAAGAAACCTCGTCTGCAATCAACCGGAATATCCTCACAGGTTTGCCATCCTTCATCAACAAGCCCCAGAAAAAGTCAGTTGTCACCCCCTTAGAGCCAGCATTACCAAGCTTATACCTCGCGAATCGACAGCGCAGCAACTGGAACAAAGCAAATGACAAGCATAAGTCTTTCAGTAGCAGCGGTCTTGGAACAGCTAGTAGCGTGTCGTCCAACCGCCAAACTCTGTCAACTGTCACCATGTTTTTGACATCCTTCACCACATACCCCTGAGGCTGCTTCTCCACTTGTATCACTTCTTCTCCCTTAACCATGAGTGGAGGAGGAGGAGGTACATGTACATGTACATCCTGGTCATCACCGGCTACAGCTACAGGTGGTTCACCATGTGGACTTCCTTCTTCTACCTGCTGCAGAGGCTGCTTCTCCACTTGTATTACTTCTTCTCCCATAACCATGAGTGGAGGAGGAGGTACATGTACATGTACATGCTGGCCATCACCTACAGGTGGTTCACCATGTGGACTTCCTTCTTCTACCTGCTGCAGTTGCTGACTGTACCCAGAAACAAGATGTGGATTGCGTCCGAGTGCAAAGGATCGCTGTGCATTTCCGAATGCATACAGTTTGAACACAATCTTAACACAGATGAGAGCAAATGGAACGAAAAGGAGCCACAAGGCACTGGGAAAATGCACGGGCTTCTGGGCAATGCTGCTGGCACCAAGGTAAAACGTCACTACCGGAAAAACGTCCTTTGCCCAGAGCCGCGATTTTTGCCGAGAGCAAAAACGCGGGATCTCGGCAAAGAAACCGTTTGCCGAGCGCGGCTCTCGGCAAACACGGGCCGTCGGGAACTCACAAGATTGCCGTGGGCCTGCATCTCGGCAAACAACAACTCTCGGCGAAGTGGGCCATTTTGCCGAGAGCCCCACTCGGCAAAAAATGACCTTCGGCAAAATGGGCCTTTGCCGTGGGCCGCACTCTCGGCAAAATCAGGCTCTCGGCAAAACATTGCCGTGGGCCCATCGCCGTGACTTGCCCTGACGGCGTCACCACTTTGCCGAGAGCCCCAACGTTATGGCTCTCGGCAAAACTGTTTGCCGAGAGCCCCTCCCAGGCTCTCGGCAAACGTGGTTTCTATATTTCATGTGCATGTGTTTCTCTTCTCCTAACTCTCTCCAATTAAATTGTTTTTTCTTTCATATGCTCCAAACTTTTTTTCTCTATACACATACTACAGGTTGTACTCAATATTAAAATTTTGTGTATTTTTGTAATTATTTGCTATATATAATTAATTAATTGCATTTCAAGGAGTTTTTTAATCGATTAAAATTTGAACAATGATTGATTTAAACACGGAACAAATTAAGTAGAAAATGATATTCATGCTATTTATGCATTATTGGGGGCAAATAACATCTTGTTGACGTTTTTTCACCTTTTATTTTACTGAATCAAGACCATTTAACATATGTCGCCAAACGATTTAAAAATTCTTAATAAAAGGAAACGAATTCGGAAAATTGTGATATTTGCAATGAAGTCATGGTATCACACTTGGAGGCTGTGGTAAAAAATTGAAAATGTTTCGCGCAAGTGGTTGCGTATGATTCTTATAAAGTTTCATAAAGTTGAGAAGGATCCATTAGAATTTTCAAACAATGTCATGGTCGAATTAGTTTTGGAGTTTCAAACTTTTTGTATAGCCATTAGAGAGCATAAGTTGCAACACGGCAAAATTTCGTATTTTTCCGGAGCCGTTTGCTATTTATTAATTTTTTTTTTGGATATTCTTTGCCGAGAGCTTCAGGGGATTGCTCTCGGCGCAGATTTCTTTTTTTTACCTAGCCTGGATCAATGGTTTGCCGAGAGCTGGCTCTCGGCGAATAGGTTTGCCGAGAGCTGCTCTCGGCAAATATTTAATTTTTTTTGAGAAATATCATTTTTTGTTCAGTTTGTTAGGCGAATAAAAATATTTAAAAACTTTTCTTTGCGAGAGTAGCTCTCGGCAAACAATAATTTTTTAAATATATTTTTTTGTGCAATTAACTAGTTAAAAATTTGAACGAAATTTGAAAAAAAACTTTGCCGAGAGCCGGATCGGGGGCTCGGCAAAGTCAGGAAGGTTTGCCGAGAGCCTCCCAGATCGGCTCTCGGCAAAGTGCCTTCCCACTTAACCGTTTGGGCCTTATCTCTCTCACTCTCGCCAGCCACTTGAACTCGCAACCCGCCTCCTGCTCGCCCCGCCCGCCCTTGGCGCCATAGGCTGCCGCCGCTCGCCCGAAGCCTCACCGCCGCCGCTTGAGCCACGCCGTTACCCTTGAGCTACGCCACGCCGCCGAGCCACGCCGCGCCGCCCGAAGCCACCACGCCGCCGCGCCCGTCACCACCACGCCGCCAGCCGCCGCCGCCGCTCGCTGAAAGCCTCGCCGCCACCACCGTGAAGCCACGCCCGTCGCCCATGAGCTACGCGCGCCGCCGAAAACCACGCCGCGCCGCAGCCCGGCCAGCCCGCCCCATCCATCCCGCCACGCCCGCCGCGCCGGTGGCGGCATTGACCGCCCAGACCCCTCCACGGCGGCCGAGCCATCCAAGCCCCTTGACCCAGCCACGCCACGCCCGGCGCCCGGCCGCGCCCTCCTCTCCCGCCCGCCTGCCTTCTCCCTCCTCGTCCTCGCCCTCGGGCTCGTCCTCGCCCAGCGCCTCGCTCTCGCCCTACGCGCGCGCCCGATTCGCTCTCGCCTCGCTTGCGCGCCCTCCTCGTCCTCGCCCTCGGGCTCGTCCTCGCCCGCGCTCTGACTCGCCCTCACCTTCGCGCCTCGACTTCGCCCTCGGCCTCGGCCTCGTCCTCACCGTCGGCCACTGCCCTCGGCCCTCGGCCTCGTCCTCGCCGTTGGCCTCGCCCTCGCCATCGCCATCGCCGCGGAGAGGAACAAGGTATACTAAGTAGTATTAGTGGTAGTAGTAGTGAGTAGTAGTTAGTAGTTGTAGTAGTGGTATTAGTAGTGGTATTAGTAGTAGTTAGTAGTTAGTAGTTGTAGTAGTGGTATTAGTAGTGGTAGTAGTAGTTAGTGTAGTTGTAGTTGTAGTTGTAGTAGTTAGAGTAGTAGTAGTTGATAATTAAGCTGCATGTGGTTCCTTGATATATATGTGGTTGTCTGTCATCGTGCCGTGGTTTTCTTTCAGGTTTGGAAACCTCACCGTTCTGGGGAGATCTTGCCAATTTTGAGTTGACGTTATTTTCCTTCTTTCTTTCTTTTTGCAGGAGCCGAGTCGGAGTACCCGGTGTCCCTGTGTTCCGCTTCAAGCACTTGCGCGTCGCCTCGCCATCGCACCGACCCGCCACGGCCCCGCTTAGCTTCGACTTCACCGCCACCGAGGTATAACCACTCTTTCTTTGTCCTGGTCATGTATCTCCACGTAACCCAGTTAGGTGTCTCCCGTTCGAAAGAGATATGGTTAGAAATATGCAGATCTTTGCATATCAATAACCGTATCTATTTCGAATTGTCCACGTTTTTTGATTAGCCGAGGATGCGTGAGATGGTGTTAGTTTCCATGGTTCGCTCCGATCCGAGGCGAGTTTCGACAAGATACCTTCTGTTGTTCTCTGGATACACAATCTCCCTATCGGGACGTGTATTTGGAGAACGGCGGGGAGGTGATGCCGAAATTCGTTTCGGATAGGGACGCACCATGGGAACTAACACCATCGACGATCCTCGAGGGATTAGGACCTATCCTTACCTATTAGATGGTAGGAACGACGTGTAGATGCAAGTCCATGGTTATATTTATTACTTGGTGATATATATGTTAGAGGATGGATGACCGTGAGTGGATGTACTCGGGCGCGGGAGCGCCCGTGAGATTACCGAGAGAATGGGTCGACAAGACCGAGGCTTTCATCAAGCAAGTATTTGACCAGCTCCCCTGAGCGGCGTGCCGTTTTTTTGTCCCTCGCATCAATCCTGTAAGAATGTAAAGAGGCGGAGACAAAGGAGGTGATGACTTCACATCTAGCTAGGCATGGATTTACAAAAACTATACCCAGTGGACCCACCACGGTGAAGCCAATCGTAGGAGAGAGGAGGTGGTGAGACCACGTGTCGAGGATTACAATGTTGATGCGGGGTAGCAGCTTGGTTAGATGACTTTCACGAAGCACACTTTCCGAAGGATGTAGGCAGCAGGAGGAGGAGCCAGAGGCAAGCGCAAAGGCGACACGACATGTTGTCTGCGGCAGAGGAAACCCTTCATGGCCACACACTGCATTTCAAAGCTTGATGGCATTTCACGCTTAATGGCCTTAAAGTCCCAGTTCAACCTCAGTCGAGAGAACTTTGATGAAATGTTGACAGTTATTGGCTCCATCCTTCCGGCCGGTCACCTTCTGCCACAGAACATGTACGAATCGCAGAAGGTCCTTCGTGCACTTAAGATGTCGTATGAGCAGATACATGCTTGTCCGAAGGGCTGCGTCCTCTTTAGAAAAGCACACGCATGGATGCAAAGTATTGTCCAAAGTGTAAATCCTCTAGGTATCCGGAGGTAGACTCGTGATGGTGAGAAGAGGCGAGTCCGTACCAAAGTGAAAATCCTACGGTACCTTCCATTCATACCGAGGATCCAACGGCTATTCATGACAGAGGAGTCCATGAAATGATGATATGGCACAAAATGGAAAAAGATATGATCCCGAGAAGATGGTACATCCAAATTGATGGTGAAGCATGACATCACTTTGATAACATTCATCGTAACAAAAGTGGGGAGGCACGTAATGTGCGTGTTTCACTGGCAACAGATGGGTTCAATCCTTATGGAATGATGGCTGTCCCATACACTTGTTGGCCCGTGTTTGTTATCTCTCTCAATCTCCTTCGGCGTCTCCTTCCAATGATGAATGTGTTCTTGTCGTTGATAATTCCGCAACACCTCAGGAATAACATGGGTGTGTTCATGGAGCCTTTGTTCGATGAACTGGTCCATGCTTGGGACCATGGTGTATGGACATACGATCGAGCTACAAAGACAAACTTCAACATGCATGTTTGGTATCAATACTCCATGCATGACTTCCTAGCATATGGGATATTCAGCGCTTGGTGTGTTCACGGGAAGTTTCCATGCCCCTTGTGCAAGGCAGCTCTGCAGTTCAATTGGCTGCAGAAGGGCGGCAAATATTCCGCGTTCGACAAACATCGACAATTCCTCCCTGCTGAGCATCCATTCAGATGAGACATCAAGAACTTTACTAAAGGTGTCATGGTTATGAGACCGCACTACGAGATGATGACCAAGGCCGAGGTTCATGATCGATAGATGCTCTCCGGATCAATGAAAAAGATGGTAGGTTCGTGGGATATGGTGAGGAGCATATGTGGACTCATAAGTCGCCCTTGATGATGCTCCCCTATTATAACGACCTTCTTCTTCCACACAACATTGATGTAATGCACACCGAGAAGAATGTTGCTGAGGCGCTTTGGGCAACGATCATGGACATTAAGGATAAGACGAAGGACAATGTAAAGGCGAGACTGGACCTGGCAACGATATGTGATAGACCAAAGCAACACATGCAACCTCCTAG